GGCATGAGAGCAGCCAGGGAGGCTGCCAGTCATTGACCCTGACAACAAGGGATCTGCTTGCCCAAATCCAGTCAATGTGGCATCTCCTGTGCTGGGGTGGAGTCCAGGAGCTCTCTCGTTTTTTCCTGGTACTCTGAAACAGGAGAGGCCACATGGAGCCTCTCCTTTGGAATCTGGCCAAAGAAAGGGGGGAACCTCTTTTCTGAGAAGTCAATTTTGCTTTCACAGCCTCTGGGGAGGCTGGGAGAGACCAACCATGGGGCCACAAGGAGAGGCAAAGGCTATCTCTTCTAGTCTGGCCGGCTTCTGGCTACAGGCTTTGGGAACTGTTTATTGTGGGTACATTTTTGCCCAGGTACCTCCACCAGAGGCTGGAGGAGACAAGTGGGTATTAGGATAACTTCTCAGGAGGATGTTTAGGTGTTGTGCAAAAGGCTAGCTCTGGTTAATGGTGATAAAACCAGCCAGATCTTGGGGCTCACTCTCAAAGCAAAAGGGTCTGAAGGAAGCCCAGTGACACTGGGCTTGACTCCGTAACTCAGAGGAGAAGCAATAGCTGCCAGGTAATGGTGTTTATATGCCAGGCATTCAACAATGTGTTGAGAAAAAAATAATGAATGAATGACTTAACTTCAGAATTCAAGTTTTTAATCTGATATCTTCTATTCTGCCTCTCACATTCTCACCATCCAGCCACCATGCAAGTAGAGTTAGAAGTTAGCTAGGCACTTACAAAATCTTTCTAGAATGTGGACCTCACATTTTAGGGACTTTGTCTATCCCACTCATCACTGTACCCCAGTGTCCAGACCACCTACTAGCATTTAGTAGATGCTCAGTAAATGTGTTCTGGGTAAATGGATAAATCTAGTACTACCCTCTCATTGCCAAGACAGGGGAATTGAGCAAAGGGGGCAGGGACCTGCCTACCCTGGTTAAAACAGGAGTCATGGCAGAGCAGGGACAATTCCTGAGGTCTCCAGCCTCTCTGTCTGGGGCTCCTTCCCCTGCATGAAAGGGCCTATTGGCAAAGTCCTCCCACCTTCCCATATCCCTTCACAAATTCCTTACTGCCACCCCTAATCCCAACCTTCCCTCTTTCTTCTCTCTTTGCCAGCTGGATAATTAACCATTGGAAACAGAACCTATAATTACTGTCTCCCCCATGCCCTTAAATTGCTTTCATTCTGGGCTCTGTGACCCCTGTTCTGAGTGGTTGCTTTCTCCCTCAGCAGCCTCCCAAAGGGTGAGCTAACCTAACAAAGCATCAGCTGGGGCCTCAGCTCCCCAGATCCAATGGCCAGCTATACAGGAGACCAGCAGCAGATGGGTAAGGAGGGTCCCCAGGCAGGTTGGGGCTGACTCGGCTGGGGTGTCAGTGGGACTGTGATGTCAGACAGGACAGGAGGCCAGGCAAGCAGGTGGGCTGGATTTTCCAAAAGCAACTGATGCCAGGTAGAGAGTGGGCTTCTTATTAAGCAGGGTCCAGTCTATGATGGTTCTAGCTGGGCCTGGGTCTCTGCTTGGGTTCTTCAGCCCACCTTTGTGCCCCAGCCTAGAGGGTACTAGGCCATTTACACCCCTGGTGCCTCAGGGAGGCCTCTTGGGAGCTTAAGGTGAGGTCTCAAGAACCTTGGCCTTCCAGCTTAACAAGGCCTGTCCCTTCAGGGAAATGGAGACCTGTTGAACACCTGCTTAGTTTGGCTTCATTGACAAACTGGGCTCAGTCTACGGAGGAAGCCAGGCAGCCCCACCCTCACCTGGGAAGCATCCTCTATTTGTGACTCACCAGGTGGTCAGGCCCAGCTGGGACAGGAAGGAGAGTGGTGGGTGGGGCAGGTCTGGAGCTCTACCACTAGAGATCATACCCCCTGCCTCCAGCTAGCTAAAGCTTAGTTGCTCCCTGACCCAGACAGATGAAAAGGGAATCGGGGGGGTGGGGAGGGACAGGGCTCCTATTCTTCAAGATCTCCAAGGAAACATTTGTTCAGTCTCATCTGAGACAGAGGCTAGAAGTGGAAGAGTGAGAAGAAGGGTAGTCACAACCCTTGCTCTCAAGAAACATTTCCTATTTGCTGTGGTATAATAATAGGCCTGGGCTTGAATGCTAGTGCTCTCCTTCATCTGAAGTGTGTTCTTGGACCAGTTATAAGACTTGTAGAGGCTGTTTCCTCATCTCACATATGAGGCACATCTCCACTTACCACCTTCACAGGATACTTCATGGGACTTATTGCAACAAAATGTATAAAAGTGTATAAAAACTGTGGCAGGCACCATTCAGTACACAATGTCATGAGGTGCTACAAAGCAAACTGCATGGTCAGTTCTGAATTCAAACTGGCACATGCCATGATGCCCATGCCCAGGCAAGCTGGAACAGTCAATCACACACCTTCTGGGTTGTCCAGCAGACTGCACCAGACTTTCCTCTGCCCTCTCCCTCAGATTTCAGGTTATACGCATGCAGATACTCCCCAGGGGGCCCAGGAACTCCATCCCCTACCTGTAGGGTAAGGGAAGCTGGTATATGGGGCTGGTTGAGGGACCATGTTAAGACACTCAGTTGGAGGTGTGAGATAGGTTCAGGCTCTATCTCAGTAAGAGACACTAATCTGGCCTGAACCAGCCTGGTTAGAGATCCCTGGCACAGGCTAGCCCTATGCTGGGCAGACAGTCAAGCAACAGAGGCCCCATCTGAACCAGGCACTTCCTTTGGTTAATGAGAAACAGCTTCTACCCCCAGATGGTTCAGGTAGCATCCCATTCCCAGCCTAGCCCTGCTATAGCTGTTTTCTCTATCCAGCAGGTCCCTTGGTTCTCCTCTCTACTTTCCTCATAATCCTGGCTGCTCTTTGGCTGGTTCCTGGAGCTTCTTGCTCTGGATGGCTAACTAGCCCTCTTCTTCCTTCCTCCTCCTCTCCTTTCCTTTATTGCCTTCTTACCCATTTTTAGTTCTTGGGATCTCACTTGTCCTCCTCACAACATCTGTCTCAGCCCTCTCCACAGGGAATCCCCCCACTACTCTCCAGGCAGGAGCAGGAAGGCCCCAGGCCTTACCAGTCTTCTTCTCTGCTGTGGGACTGAGGCCAAACCTTCTATAGGGCCCTTACCATACTTTGACCCAAGCAAGTTACTCATCATCCAGTGAGAAGAAGACCTAGTGCTATTCTAGCTGCCAAACAGAAGCCCCCAAGTGTACCATGGCAAGCTCTGTATAGCCCAGCTCTCAAGACAGAGGGAGGATTCTTCTGGCTGAGAGGTGAACTGGGCATTTTGAAGCAGTCCCAGTACCCAGCAGGCTGCAGCCAAGACTCGGCTCTTGGGAAGTTATTTATATTCACCTTCAGGCATCCTGAGGCAGAGCAGGGCTGGGCCTGCCAGCAAGTCTCAAGTCTAGCCGCAGCCAGGTGGTGGCAGTACTTGCAGACACACCCAGGTCCCCATGGGAACACCCCTTCCCCCATTAACCCTCTCTAGCTGACTCTGGTGCCAGGCTGGGCAGATGCCTGTGACTTATGCCACAGAGGTGACGAGATGAATAGGGGAGAATGATACCAGGCTCCACAATGGCAGAACAAGAGTGCAGAGACACCTAGGGGGTAGGCTAGAAAGCAGCAGGAAGGGCACAGGGCACTTGGAACATCTTGCTTCACCAGGACAGCCACCCTCTTCCCATACCTTCCCAATTCCCAGTGGTTTGGGCATAGAAACTAGCACACGCACACAGGCACAGGCATACACATGCATGCACTCACACTCTCACACTCCATTTCCCAACATCATGACACTATTTTACACCCATTTCTCCATGTGGTTAATTTTTTTTTTTTTTTTAGTTCTCATGTTTTTCTAAGAAAAAAGCAACAAGAAAATAATTCAGAGTTTATACAAAACATCTTTACATTATTTTTTTCCAAAAAGACTAGTATTTACACAAATGGCAATAGAAACAAAAACAAAAAACCCTTCTGACTCCCACCTGGAAGAGGCTAGCTGTTCTGCTCCCTCTTCCACCTGGCATTGGGTGGGCAGCAGGCCAGGAGGCAGTGTGGAGGTGGGTGGTGTAAGGCCAGCTCCTTCCATGGCCACTCTGGGAGTGCCTGCAAGGCATACTCAAGTGGCAGTCTGTTAGCAGCCGTGCTGGCAAGGAGCCGGGGTCAAAGTGTATGGCAGGCTGGCCCAGTCCCGGCAGCCTCTTCCTCTTTTGGGTGGGCCAGTGGGAGCTGGGTTGGGCTGGGGGCAACCACTGTGCTACAGCCCAGAAAAGGAGCAGGCCACCTGGCCTTAGGTCTCTGCCCTGGGCCTCTGTTTTCCCACCAGGCCAAAAGATACCGAAGGTAAGGAGAGTAAGGTGGGAGGTGGGGGGAACCCCCAGCTCTGCAGGGCAAATATCCACCTGGACCTCATCTCCCTCCACCCCTCATGAGGTCA